CTGCCTTCAGTCGGAGGTCTCCACCCACGGAGGGTCTTGCGATGTCTGCGTCACGCACAACTCCACGCCGACGGTCCGTTCCAGCCAGTTCTCTGAGAGAATGTGGAGCAGGCAGAGCTTTACCATAGCACAGTGTAACTCCAGAGGGGTGGGGGGATATTTTCCCAGCTGGGGGCAAATAACCTTTGAAGCTGAAATCAGGCAAACAGAGAAATAAAGTGGGAGACACCCATTTATTACTTGCAAAGGGGGACAAAGGCTTGAGTTACCTAAGGTTCCCACAGTTTGAACAAGGCTTTTGCTCAGAGCTGAGCCTGCCTGCAGGCCCCTGCTGTGACATTGCATTGCGTGCTCCAACGCGTTTTCACCATTACCTCTTGCAGAGGGGGCAGATTTAAAAGTAGAAGCAGGTAGAGAAAAGATGAAAGAGCACCTTGCACCGTACGTTTCCGAAACAGTTAAATTCGGGAGGGGCCTCACGGGCAAGGCTGCTGGTGCCCTGGTGATCTCTAGAGATGGGGTCCGTTGCAATGAACACATCTTCCCTTGAGTTCATAAGGGGTAAGGGTTCTTTTGGAAAGAACGGTCACGTCGCTCTAAGTGAAAACACATCACGAGTGCGGAGAAGCCCAGGCGGGCCTGAGTTCTCTGCAGGGACTCCCAAGGGGAGAAGGTGTTTGGTTCTCTTCTCTTCCATCTGGGCTGGTCTGGGACTCCGCCAACTGACGGTGGCAGAAGGGACAGGCGTGGGAGTGAACCATCTGGAACATGCCACCAAACGCAAATTCCCCTGAAGGTTCCAGCCACGCAGCCCTGAAGGATCCTTTGAGAATATTGCATAGGATGAAGCCTCCACTTGCGTACAGCCCCGGCCACCACCCCAGTGGAACCACTGAGTCCCCCCAATTCTCAGAAGCAAGAGCGATGGAAACAGGCTGCTGCTGATTTAAGCCACCAAGTTTTGGGGTGGTGTGTTGTGCATCCATCCATCACCAACCTAGATCACCAAAGTAATACATACACACGGGACTGGGGAAATGTGGGGTGCAGAAGACACACAAGCCCAGACCTTGTCAGTCACCTTCCACGCGCTGTGTTACAACCTACATCCTATGTTCCCTGGGGTGCTGACTCATTGCACATCTCTACTATTGTGACATGCAGGCCGCGCTCTCAGGGTCTGCGTGTGGTTTTGAGCGGAGACGGTGAAGACAACGAGGTGGTATGGATGATAATGTGTCATTTCCGTGAAAGGCGATAGCGGCCCCCAGGCTCCAAGTGGAATGAATCTCCATTCCAGACCCGGAGGGACAAGGAGCCAGCCTCAAGACCCCTGAGTGTTTTGTGCAGGAAGGGAAGGGGGACAGGGTAAGAACACAGGTGGTGATGCCAGGAGATGCCCCAGTGCAGTGACCCTGCTCTGCCCACGACATCACCATTCCTGGGATTTTCCAGCCTCAGCAGTGAGGCACTGGAAAAATGCTCCCAGTCTTCCAGGAAGTTCTGGGGGACATTATGCATTGCAAATGCACCCTCATCATACACCTTTGGTGCTTCCACAGTGTAGACACTCTTCTGCACGCCCTTGACCCCACAAAATCCAAATGTCACCCCCTCACCGTTCCTAAATCAAAGAAGACCCCAATCAAGGCCAACCGCCGTGTCTGACCACGCATCGGTCACCCGGCCATCGCTCCCTGTGTCACCTGTCTGCTTTCTCCCTTTCATATGATGTAAAAATCCTGAAATGAGCAATCCCTCTGGGTGAGGTTCCCTCTGGAAAAGGCCAGAGGCAGCAGCTTCCCTGGGGTTGGGGGAAATTTTGGGCCAGAACTGGAGGAGGTGCACCTGGCATCTGGGGGTGGAGGCCAGGGAGGCTGTTCAGCACCCCACAGTGCACAGGACGCCCAGCCCAGGGTCATCAGGACCCAATTGCTAGTAGTTCTGACATGGACAAAGCTTGCCTTTGTCCATGAAATTCTGTTTATCCATCTATCTATCTGTGTATCTGTGTATCTATCTACCTATCGCCCATCTGTCTGTTGGGGGTTGACTTAGGTCTCCTCGTTTCTTGCCCCACTGCAACAAGGAATTGAAGGGCAGAGACCCAGCAGTGAACCAGAGCTAAGGTTTTATTTGAACGCACGCCTAGGGGGGAGGGGGCCAGAGTCAAGGTAGGCAAAGGCAGGTTTACTTGAACAAAGGTGAGGAAGGACAAGTGGACGAAAGGGAAGCTCACCAAACTCCTGCCAACTCCTGAAGCCAGTGTCACCCGGTGTCCACGGTCCCCTTGAACCTGCACGGCATGGGAACCGAGTCCCTACCCCCCAGGATTTGGGGGAGCCACGGAGCCCTGGATGGAGTGAGCTTATGTTGTGAGAACTTCTCCAAGGCAAACACAGGAGACTTTCAGGCAGGCTACTGAGGAGCATGATCTACGGCCGCAGTCCTGCCCGGGCCCCCCAGGCCACGGGAACTTGCAAGCCCACAGCAGAGCTCCCAGCAGCCCCTTCCTACTCATCTGAAGTAGGACAGAGGCAGTGACACGCTCCAGGAAAGGAGAGGGTGGGCAACCTCAGAGACGACGAGGTGCACCAAAAAGCTGGGATTCTGTCTTTTAAGGAGTTTCAAGAAGGGGATAAAGGCAAAGGGTCAGGGGGCATAGGCTTGTCAGGAGGTGTCACGATGTCTATCTCCAGTAACAGACAATACGTCATTGTCTGTAGCCAGTCCTCTAGGTATTTCTGTAGGATAAACCTTGTGTTCTTCTCCAAGATACTCCCAAGCACTGGGAACACATCCGTGAAGACTGCCTGCCCTGCCTTAGGATATATGTCATCGGCTGACTACCAAAGAATATGTTAGGAATCTAACCTCCCAACTCTGCTCTTAGCCTCAGGATAAGTCCCCCGTTGTCCCACTATGCTATTTACATCTCAGCATTTTCAGGAAAACGAACCACAGTGCTGGCCCCTCTCTCCGTCCTTTCTCACCTACATTAGCTACGGCAAGTCTCAGGCTCAGCCCGCATCCGGGGCCTGGGCAATCAGCTCACATCGCAAAGGGTGTCAACTCTGTGATTCCTTTCTGCTTTCTGTATCTATCTGATTAACCCCCCGAGTTCTTTGTGGACCTCACAGTCTTTTCATCCCACTCATATCTGTCTTTCTGCCTAACATATCTATCATCTATCTTTTCAGTCCATCTATCCACCCACCCATGCCTCTATCTATCTATTCATGTATGTGTCTATCTGTGTACGTATCTATGTATCATCTATGTAACTGTCCATCTATCTATTTATCCATCTATGTGTCTATCTGTGTACGTATCTATGTATCATCTATGTAACTGTCCATCTATCTATCTATCCATCTATCTATCTATATCTACTTATCACCTATGGTGTCCACATCCTCCTCCCCATGCAGTGGACAGAATAATGCTCCCAGACCCCCACACCCTGACCCCCCATTACCCGGGAAAGGGCTTTTGCACATGTGACTAAGGATCCGGAGATGGGACATGACCCCGGCTGATTCACGTGGGTCCCTAGATCCTCATCTATAAAAGGGCGGCTCAAATGTCCCCGGCAGAGAAGGGATGGGACGATGGTGGGGCCGGAGGGGCATGGGACGTGAGCCAAGGAGAGCGGGCAGCTTCTAGGGGCCGAAACGGCAAGACAACTATTCTCCTGGAAGCCCCCAGAAGGAACTGACCCCGCCACACCGAAATTTCAGCCCAGTGAGACCAGGGCTGGTGTTCTAAGCCCAGAACAATGCCCAGGGTAGAAGAATCCTGGGTCTGGGGCCAAGAGGGCCCCAGTCAGCCTGCCCTCAGTTCTTTGTGCTGCTTTTAGCCCATCTGACCTGCTCGCAGATTCAGGAAGGGGCTGTGTGTAAGTGCTCTGTGGCTCTGACTCAGTGTTTGTACCATTATGGCCGAGCCCGTTGTTATTTCTCACTCCCAGAGGCACATGCTGGCCCCTGACCCTCAACCTGGGCTTCCTGCCCCCAAGCAAAACATGCCCAGCCACCCGTCTCCATCCCAACTCCTGGGACCCGGTTCTCCACGTGGATTCGGAACATCCCCAGCTGGCATCTCCCATACCAAGCTCACTTGCCTTCAGGCCTGAGACCAACAGGAAGGGGGCCACTCACTCCTTGTCTGGATCACCCCCTTCCGCCCCCCATGAGATAGTGGCTGCAGGAGCCCTGGGGGGCCACACTGTGGAAGCCAAGGGCAGGCCGCCCTCAAATGGGCCATGTTGGTGAATGGATTACCTGAATGAAAGTTTCCTAAATTTAACAGCCAGCAGTACCCTGACCCTCCTTTTTGTCTCCAGAAGGCAGGAAATAAACCTCCATGTTAATGGTACCTTCCGGGTGCCAGGAAGCATCCCATCTAGAAGCAGGAAATTCAGGGCTGAGAAGTTCACGACCCAAACCTTGCATTATCGGTGTTACCCTACTCCAAATCCTGCTGAGAATTCCTAACTAACTGAAGTTCCAAACATACATTTCTCTTTATCTCGTCAATTCCTCAAAGACTCATTGTCCCTCTGTCTACAACGTACAAAACCCGCCTGCCTCAGCCATTTCTTTGAGTCTCAATGTCGCAACTGGGTGTCCGGGCATTTGCGATTAAACTTTGGGGTTTTTTTTTTCTTCTGTTAATCTGTCTCCTATTAATGTAACTCTTTGAACAGCTGAAACAACCTCAAAAAGAGGAGAGAAGCCGTCCCCTACACGAGCCAGCGAGCTTGTACATCTTGACAAGCTTTCCAGTGCAGATACTATCAGCCTGTATGCAAAAGAGATCCTGCTATGTATGTGTGTGTGTGTGTGTGTGTGTGTGTCTGTGTGTGTATGTTTTAACGAGTCATCTTTTAAAATTAAGCTTGACTCTTGTTTCCTGTTCTCATTTCCCTAACTTTCTGCCTTTTAAAAGCGGGTGACCTGCCCCCAGCAGTCCTGCAGCAGAGACTCCAAGCAGGCGTGGATGCGGGACGGGCGGGCTCCCCTGTCCGGCATGTGGGCTGTCTTTCCAGCCCGGGTGGCCGCAGCCGTGTTCCTGCTGGGATATTTCATAGCCTTGGAGGAAACAGACCTGGGTAAGCCCTGCTGGGGGACTGGTCACTTTTGTCCTTTATTGGAACACCCCCTACCTTTCTGTCCTCCTGGTCTCTTTTGCAACAGTGACATTTTCTTTGTGAATGTTACGGCGTGTTGGCGAAGGTCTCCAAGTCTCCAGGCCCTGAGGGTGCCTGTGGCAGGGGACCTTGCGTCCCCTGGGAGCCGTGCCTTCTGGGATTGACAACTGTCCCCTTGCTGCCTGTCCCCAGAGTCTGGCTCCTGGGCTTTTCCAGAAGATTGCTGCCAGGCCACACCCACGTTCCAAGCTTTGATTCAGTGTCCACAGGAGAGGCAGACGGGGGCAGGGTTTGTGGGCAGGACCAGCCTGAGATTTGACTTTCTAGAGGCTCATATGGGAGCCAGTAACGGTACTTGGGCTCCTGTTAGTGTCTGCACTGTCCCAGACTCGCCCTTTGCTGAGGTCACTGGGTTGTAAATTGGATTTCCAGTCGGTGCCCCCTGCAGGGCCTGGATTGGGGACCCCTGGGCTGGCATCATGTGATTCCCCACAAATCAGGGTCTCTGTGGGCTGCAGACAGAAGGCAGGGGGCTTAGGGTTCCCTGTCTTTTAAACTGCCTGCTTACCTGCTGCTGACTCCCCCTCCTGGACGCCCCCCATCTTGGAGTCTGATGGAGGGAAGCACGGTGTAGACCCTTTCTGGATTCTGACTCACTGGAAGCCCAACTAAAAGAGGACTGGGTATAGGATCACCGTCAGATGGAGGCCCCAGTCAGTGACTCATGCCAACGCACTCAGAGCCTTTCTAGAAACTTCTTAGAAAACATTTACCTGAGTTTTACTAGAGGTGTGGAATGTGCTGTGACCTGACCACAGGGGTCCCGAGGTGGCAGCCTGGGGAAAGGCCCCTGCTCTGGGCTGACCCCATTGGAAAGCCCCCAACCACACACGCTGTGGGTGTGTCCAGTATTCAGATAATCCTCAAGGCCATTTGCTGACCACCTGCGTGTGCCCGGATCACGTTCGTGGTGTGGGGGGCAGAGAGGCAAGGCAGATGAGGGGTGGGGTCAGGGCAGAATGGGGGAACCCAAGATGGGCAAGGATGGAGGGGCAGCAGAGCCTGGGTGCTTCCCCCAAATGGAGCAGGGACTTGGGTGTGCTCACGCAGGAGGCGTGGGGGGCACTGCGGGGCCCAGGGAACCTCAGAATTCCTGGTGGCTTTAAAAATGCTCCTCAGGGGAGGCTTTTGGTCTGCACCCCTCCTGTGCACCTGCCATCTTTAGAGCCTGGGGGATGCAGGGGGACTTCAGGCTGTCACAGTGCCCAGGAAGCCTGGTGACCTGACATTCACCACCTGACACTGTGGATGCTGAACCTGGATGCACCGTGCAGGGACCCCCGGAGGCACGTCTATACCGTGCAGGTGAAGGGGCCCAGCACCCATCCAGTGTGGCTATGGACACCCATCAGCCCACCTTGAGGATGACGTAATGAGGTCCCAAGTGCACAGAGGCTTCTGGGTATTTTCAAGGTGCCCTTGTGTGTCATGATCCTTCAGTTCTGGGCTCAGCTGTGCCCCCTAGAAACATACCTTCAAGACCTAATCCCTGCAACCTCCAAATGGGACCTTGTTTGCAAGTAAGGTCTTTGCAGACATAATTAGGTAAGGTGACGTCATCAGGTGGGTCTTGACCGAATGCACACTTATAAAAGGGAAATAGAGCCTCTTGTGCAAACCCGAGAAGCAGCCGCGAGGAGTTGGAGGCACAGACAGGAGGGACACGGCCACACACCCAGGACAGCATGGAGCGGCAGAAGCTGCAAGAGGCAGGAAGGAGCCCCCCAGAAGCCTTGGGAGAGAGCAGGCTCTACCCGGCCTGGACCTCAGAGCCCCACCCATCAGGACCTCACACATCTGGTCTCCAGAGCTGGGGGAGGGTGATTCCTGCGGTGTAAGCCCCTGTTGGTGCTGACAGGCAGCCAGTTATTAGCAGCATCCCTGTCCTCTGCCCGGGAAGTGGGTAGGCACAGGGTGGGCGGGGACAGTGGACACCCTGTGAGCCGGGGCCCCCGGGAGGAGGGGACAGATGTACAGGTGGGAGGTGGGGGTGTGGGCTGGTTCTGAGGTGGCAGGGGGCAGGGTCCCTCCTTCGGCATCTCTGCCTCCCAGAATAGTTCCAATTCCCTTTTGTCAGGGACCCACCCACATGTGGGGGTTCACATGCTGGTTCCTGAGCTGTGTGTCCACACTTTCAGGACAAAGACCTTCCTTCAAAGGCTTTGCCGTCCCATTCATGCCCGGGCCCTGTCGTCTTTGTAATGGCTAAGACTTCTGACAGCGTCTGGTTCCGCAGGGCTGGGAAATGACCTAACTGTCCATTCTGAGGTTTCCCCCATGACCTAGCACACTGACCTGACCTTGTAGGTTAGCCCCTGAAATACGCAGCTCCCTGTAGGTGCACAGGCCCTTGGCACACCCAGCTTCCTTGTGTGAGTCATCAACACCTTTCCTGTATATTTTTCACTGGGAGGCCAGGTCTAAATTTACAAGGAAATTCTTGGTATTTAAATCAGAGCCCTAGAGTTTGCAAATGCCTTCCTGTCCAGATTTCCTATAGACTGTGTTTTTCTAGGAAAAAAAGAAAAGGAGGGTTACAAAATTCAAGGCAGCTTTACAAAAGATCTGGGCATTTCACTGTTTCTGGGTTCCCGAGATGCTGAGCTGTGGGCCACCGTGGTCCCCCTGCTGCCAAGACCTGCCCCGTGGGGTCCCTGCTCCCTAATGGGGGTCAGAGTCTCCCCTGGAAGGGAGAAGTCCCCCAAAGTGGGGGCCAGGCAAGAAGGGAGGAAAGGAGATGTTGTTTTTGGTAACATGACTTTTAGAAGATTTTTATCACTTCTAAACACTAGCTATCATCACCTCCTGACGGCCACAAATCCACATTTTATCTGCACATCTGCCTGTTCTGGGCATTTTCTATAAATGGATCCTGCACTGTGTGTCCCTGTGTATCTGCATCTCGCCCTGAGCACCGTGGGTTCAGGTTCATCCACGCTATGCATGTGTCAGGGATCCCCTACTTTTCAGGGCCTAGTAATATTCCCATGTGTGCACAAAGCACAATTCATTGACTTTCAGAGTTTTGCTCAGATAGCTTCAGATTGCCTGCATGATCAGAAGCCAAACAAGAAAGCAGAATTCATTCCAGCCACGTCTCAAGGCAGACAGTCTCAAGCCTAGAGTAGGAGCAACCACCGCAAGAGGGGTCCTAAAATGCCTGAGTTCAATACAATCTTTAAAATTCAAAATTAAGTTGCATATCCTTTCAAAAAAATTAGAGTGAAATATACATCACATACAATTTGCCCTCTTAGCCTTTTTTCAGTGATCACTCAGGGGCATTAAGGGCATTACGTGTTGTATAGCATCCCCACCATCATTCTCCAGAACTTTCCATTTTCCAAAGCTGAAGCTCTGTCCCCATAAAACCCTTCCTGAGCCCCTGACCCCACCCTCCACTTTCTGTCTCTGTGGATGTGATTCCTCTAGGGACCTCCTAGGTGCGGAATCAGAAGGGACTTGCCTTTTAAGGTGCTTATCTTGATAATGGAGTAATCGTTCACCAGAGTGTTCGTGGGGTGGGGGGTCTTTGGGACGGTGGGGACTTTGAACATAATGGCACTGTTGATAGATGGTGGAAATCAGTCCCCAAAAGACTGCTGCCCTCTCTTTCTTGGTACAGTTGGCTTTTATCACAGGGACTGCCTATTAAAGGATCTTTGGTACAATTGACAGTTCACGCCTTCACCTCTTTGTCCCCAAGAGGTACCCAACACCCAGTACTATCAACAGGTGCCCTCGGAGCAACAACAGTGCTGGTGGCCCTGAGGTCATATTGTTCAAAAGCAGGTGTTCAAAGTCGGGGGCCATGAAATTACAAGAGTGAGATGGTGTCTTTCAGTGTGATTGGTAGTCCCAGGGTGCTCATAAGCCCTAGACAGACAGCCTGGGAGGGCTGGTCATTCCCACATAGACCCATTAGGATGTTCCTGAGGCTGTGGGAGAAATTGAACCCAAATCAAAATCTCTTGCCGACTTCCACAAAGGTGGGAGAGAGAGAAAAACCATTTTATGCTCACATAGGCATGAAGCCAGAATGGGTTATGCATCCCATGTAATCTGCTGACGAGACTGCAAAGGCCGAAAACCCTTTATAGAGCTAAATCCATACAACCTGATTCACAGATGTTCTCAAGATAACCAATAACTGGTTCTCCATTGGGGAACCTCCCGTCACCTTTGGCCATGCACAGTCTTTCCTAAGTTCACTTGGTAATTGCAGTGACCATCTGGGCCAGCTAACTGGCTTCATGCAAAGGAAAACAAACTTTTATCTTTAGGATGGGAGGTAGTTTTACAACTTGGAGCCAGACCCTTACCCTCTCACGGAAGGTGGGAGATGGGGGCCCCACCTCCCTTGATATTTGCATTTCCCAGGTCCTGACAAAGATTTTCCTGGGTCCTACCTCTGGAGAAAAGCTTATTAACTTTTAAAAGATTGACGCATACTTCAAAGAGATGGAGAAAGAGCGTACACATTTTCCAAGGTGAATGCTCTATGAAAACAGAGGGGAGACACCTCCTAGTTTCAAAGGGGAGAATCAAGTCTCTTATTTTTAATTCCGATCCGCTCTTCTAAGGCACAGAGTTGGGCTCTGGGCAAAATGGGGCTGTCAATGTTTCCTTTCTGTTTTGCAAATGACATCTGAGCCCTTTAGGAAGGGCTGGCTGATGTGGAACCTACTCAGAGGTCCAGCTACAAGAAGAATGCACTTTAAGAGCAGCTTATGTGACAATATGAACATGTTTTATAGCGTGGATAGGAAGCCCATGCCTTTGACACCCTCTTTCTCCAGTGAGTCCGTTGCCCACCCCAGTCCCATTCTTCACCCAGATGTGGCAGGACGGCCAAGTCCGTCAGGGGCAGTTAGCAAAGACTCAAACAAGGGACTTCCCTTTATTTTCCCTTTTCAAGTCGGAGAGCACTTTGCCTCCTGTCCTTGCCGTTGACGCATCATGTGGGGGCGTCAAGGGACCACAGGAACACTTCTGCTTTCCTGCTGGGGAGTCTGGCTGAAGGCCCCTGACATTTTCTGCAGAAGGAGGTCCAAAGCTCTGACATAATATTTGCTGAGGACTGAGCTCTATGCCTCCCACCCTGGACAGTGTCTGGAAGGCATTGGCTGTAAGGACTGGACACTAGTTCCTCTTCTGAAGGTCAGGGATTTCCAGAAGCTGGAACATCCTCCCTGAAATCTCTGCTATCCATTTCAGGAAGCCATGGGTCACAAAAAAGGGGCACTGATTTTTGTGGTCAGTCACACCAGGAACAACTGCCAGCACAGAACAGAAGTATTCTGTACACCTCAGGCATTAGAAGGACTTGGTTAAGAACTCAAAGAATGTTTATGTCCCTCAGTTTTCAGGAGTTGTGATAGACTCAAAATCCCATAATGGGACTTTTCACAGAGAGTTCAATTTCTCCTTTATTTTTCTTTCCTGCCCAATGCAGTGTGTCTCCTCCGAATAGTTTTCTTTAAGCTCCGTACAGGGTGTCAAACAGATTTCAGAAAAACTAGAGTGAGGAAAATAGTTGAGAACAGTACAAAGAAGACTTGCTGGAGTGTCCGCTGTGCACCAGGTTGTCAAAACATGGGGAACTGAAAGCCTGAACATCTAAACACACACTGACCAGATCGTCTATAAAAGCAGAACTCTGACCCACACAACCTGCCGCAATCTGTCCAGGAAACCAACCCCTTGATCAGTGACCAAGAACTTGTCTAAGATTTGTCCCTACATCCAGCTTAGGGCCAACCAGAGAAAGCCAGATATGCTCCTCTGACCAGTCACACAGGATCGGCTGCTTCTAGTTGGCCCCTCTAGCTTCCCAGTGTCCCCGGCCTCCATCAGGGCACACCTGACACTTCCTCTTATCTACTGTAAATCTTTCCTGCTTGCCTTTGAGTCTCTGCCAAAGGCAACTGATGGTGGCTAACTCCCTTGCTACAGCAAATGCTGAGTAAACACCCTCTGCTTTTCCCTGTTTAGGTGCTCTTTGTCATTGGTCAGTGTGGTCAAAGAAAGACCTTGGGAGAGGCATTAGTGAGATACAGTATGGAGTTTGGAAGATACGTAGAATTTGGATTACTCAGGGGTCAGGATGGGGAGACATAGTTAATTCTGGACCCTGATATGGAGTGTGACACGGTGAATACTTAGCAGGTCACCTATCCACCCCCAAGACCTTCCAGAAGGGCTGAGCGAACTGCTGGGGCCAGGGTGTGTGTTTGTGTCCTACCCCAGGGCCCCCAGCAGTGAAGACAGAGTGTGGGTGTCTGACCTGGGAACTCCCACACCCTCCTGGTCAGCATTTCTGGACTCGTGTCCATTCACCTCCCTCTCACCCACATCCTGGTGAGTGTTAGAAATGTGTCCATCCATCCATCCATCCACCCATTCACCCAGCTGCCGGTCCATCCATCCATCCATCCATCCATATCATCTATCTATCTATCTATCATCTATCTATCTATCTATCTATCTATCTATCTATATCAACCTACCTCTATCATCTATCTATCTATCTATCTATCTATCTATCTATCTATCATCTATCTACCTATCATCTATCTATCTATCTATCTATCTATCTATCTATCTATCTATATCTATATCAATCATCTATCATCTATCTATCTATCTATCTATCTATCTATATCAACCTACCTCTATCATCTATCTATCTATCTATCTATCTATCTATCTATCTATCTATCTATCTATCATCTATCTATCTACCTATCATCTATATCTATCTATCTATCTATCTATCTATCTATCTATCTATCTATCTATCTATCTATCTATCTATCTATCTATCTATCTATCTATCATCTATATCTATCTATATCAATCATCTATCATCTATCTATCTATCTATCTATCTATCTACCTATCAATCATCTATCAATCTTTCAATCTATCTAACCCCAGTCCCATTCTTCACCCAGATGTGGCAGGACGGCCAAGTCCGTCAGGGGCAGTTAGCAAAGACTCAAACAAGGGACTTCCCTTTATTTTCCCTTTTCAAGTCGGAGAGCACTTTGCCTCCTGTCCTTGCCGTTGACGCATCATGTGGGGGCGTCAAGGGACCACAGGAACACTTCTGCTTTCCTGCTGGGGAGTCTGGCTGAAGGCCCCTGACATTTTCTGCAGAAGGAGGTCCAAAGCTCTGACATAATATTTGCTGAGGACTGAGCTCTATGCCTCCCACCCTGGACAGTGTCTGGAAGGCATTGGCTGTAAGGACTGGACACTAGTTCCTCTTCTGAAGGTCAGGGATTTCCAGAAGCTGGAACATCCTCCCTGAAATCTCTGCTATCCATTTCAGGAAGCCATGGGTCACAAAAAAGGGGCACTGATTTTTGTGGTCAGTCACACCAGGAACAACTGCCAGCACAGAACAGAAGTATTCTGTACCCCTCAGGCATTAGAAGGACTTGGTTAAGAACTCAAAGAATGTTTATGTCCCTCAGTTTTCAGGAGTTGTGATAGACTCAAAATCCCATAATGGGACTTTTCACAGAGAGTTCAATTTCTCCTTTATTTTTCTTTCCTGCCCAATGCAGTGTGTCTCCTCCGAACAGTTTTCTTTAAGCTCCGTACAGGGTGTCAAACAGATTTCAGAAAAACTAGAGTGAGGAAAATAGTTGAGAACAGTACAAAGAAGACTTGCTGGAGTGTCCACTGTGCACCAGGTTGTCAAAACATGGGGAACTGAAAGCCTGAACATCTGAACACACACTGACCAGATCGTCTATAAAAGCAGAACTCTGACCCACACAACCTGCCGCAATCTGTCCAGGAAACCAACCCCTTGATCAGTGACCAAGAACTTGTCTAAGATTTGTCCCTACATCCAGCTTAGGGCCAACCAGAGAAAGCCAGATATGCTCCTCTGACCAGTCACACAGGATCGGCTGCTTCTAGTTGGCCCCTCTAGCTTCCCCGTGTCCCCGGCCTCCATCAGGGCACACCTGACACTTCCTCTTATCTACTGTAAATCTTTCCTGCTTGCCTTTGAGTCTCTGCCAGAGGCAACTGATGGTGGCTAACTCCCTTGCTACAGCAAATGCTGAGTAAACACCCTCTGCTTTTCCCTGTTTAGGTGCTCTTTGCCATTGGTCAGTGTGGTCAAAGAAAGACCTTGGGAGAGGCATTAGTGAAATACAGTATGGAGTTTGGAAAATACGTAGAATTTGGATTACTCAGGGGTCAGGATGGGGAGACATAGTTAATTCTGGACCATGATATGGAGTGTGACACGGTGAATACTTAGCAGGTCACCTATCCACCCCCAAGACCTTCCAGAAGGGCCGAGCGAACTGCTGGGGCCAGGGTGTGTGTTTGTATCCTACCCCAGGGCCCCCAGCAGTGAAGATAGAGTGTGGGTGTCTGACCTGGGAACTCCCACACCCTCCTGGTCAGCATTTCTGGACTCGTGTCCATTCACCTCCCTCTCACCCACATCCTGGTGAGTGTTAGAAATGTGTCTATCCACCCATCCATCCACCCATTCACCCAACTGCCGGTCCATCCATTCATCCATCCATCCATCCACCCATCCATCCATATCATCTATCTATCATTTATCTATCTATCTATCTATCTATCTATCTATCTATCTATCTATCTATCTATCTATATCTACCTACTTCTATCATCTATCTATCTATCTATCTATCTATCTATCTATCTATCTATCTACCTATGATCTATCTATCTATCTATCTCAATCATCTATCATCTATCTATCTATCATCTATCTTTATCTATCTATCTATCTTTCTATCTACCTATCAATCATGTATCAATCTTTCAATCTATCTACATATGTATGTATCTATCTGCATATCTATGTATCTATCATCTATCTTCCATCATCTATCTATGCTGGGATTTTTCTTCCAATACTACAGAGCCCATTCTACCTTCCCTATTTCCAGATTTGTAACTCCCTCTTCTGACAGTTGGAAACCTGCCTCTCATTATCCACAATAGCATTGCATGCTCGCCCAACCCTAGACTATACAGCCATGAACTACTTTCAGAATGGCTAATCAAGACCTCTACAGAAACCAAACCTACTACAGCCTAAGTAACTTTGAAAGCAAAGACTGAAGGACTCACTTCAGCTTGTCCTTACATTGTCATATGTGGTGTTCTGACTAAAACTATGAGTTTGGTGGATAAAGGACAATTTCCAGTGCTTATCTGGGTGCCCACAAAAGATGGTGTCATTGGACATACAGTTGGTGGTCAATATCTGCTCCTTGTACTAACAGATGGTTATTACCTCTTACAAACATTCGAAGAAAGGCAACTGTAATCTTGCTGCGGACTATGTCTCTTGGGGTAATTGACCTGACCAATCATTATATACCCAGAAACTCTTCCTGACGTAACTGATCACTGGCTTGTTTGCAAAAATAGTGGTTTTACCTATTCCTTTAAAGCACTGCATCACTTTTTATGACACCGTCTTACCAACTTTCAAACTGCTTTCCGCACTGCCTAAAAGAATACTGTCTTGGTTTCTTTTTTACCCAGAAGAAGAATTACAGCTTCAGATTATCAACTTTAATTATGAAAATGTTTGGGTCACTTGGAATGCAAGCAAATACCCTGGTACGAATTTGACGTTTTTCTACAAGTAAGTACCTTCCAGAAGGGAAAAGCATGTTCTTTGCAAAACGATTTATTCTTCTGAAACATCAGAAATTGGGAGGGCCAGGAAGTAAAGGTGTGAAAAATCAGAATACACCTCAGGGCTTACCACAACCACAATCACAGGTTCCCAAACCTTCTCATCAAATGATGACGGACTCTTACTTGAAACCACCTAGATTCTTACCAGGACAGTCACAAAGTGCCGTGTTCACCAAGTGCCCTCTGCAATGTCTTAGAAGAGGTGTCTTTCCCTGGAGCTCTGCCACTTGAAGCATCTGCTCTGCAGCCACGGCAAAGACAAGTGTTTTGGGACTTTTAATGCCAGGTTACCAGGGGGCCACCTTCCAAAAATGTGTTTCCCTATTAGGCACTTATTTGCCTTGCTTTACACACTCAAAGGCATGAGTACACATGCGGGAGGAAAGGTTTTTGCAATGAACGTTTCAATTCTGTGAATAGCAGGTGTGTGGTGTGTGCTTACTTCTTTGTAGTTTGATGGCACCTGAGACAAACAGGAAAAGGCACAGGGGAGGGAAATTTGGGGATGAACTTGTTTGGAAAATAAGCCTCAGAAAAAAAAGACAGTGCTGACTTGGACTTTCCAGGTGGTCACACAGATAAGTCACTTGAGTTTTCTCTGAGTATCTTGTTTCTTCATTCATACAGGGGGTAATTCTTAGGTTTGAGGTCTTAAGAATGGAAGATTAGCTGGACTTAGGCTGGGTGCCACGTTTCTTCTTAATATTGCAGGCAAGCCTCTGAGAGATACCGAATCTTGGTACACCCTTACTGAAGTGCTTTCTCAGCCTTTGGGGGCTTCTGGTGGCCCTGGGCTTGTGGCCGAAACATCCCCTTCTCTGCCTCTGTGGACCACATGACATCTTTCCTTTTGTCTCTGTGTACCCTTTTCTTTCCCTATTAAGGACACCTTCACTGAATTTAGGACCCAGCCCAATGCACTATGATCTTATCTCAACATCCGTCTCTTAATCACATCTGCAAAGACCTTATTTTCAAATAAGGTCCCGTGTCCAGGTTCCGGGGATTAGTATGTGTACATGCTTTTTGTAAGCCACAGATCAACCTGCTGTGGGAGACATTGAAGGGTGCAGACATTTGAGAGAAGGGTAGGGTTTCTGTTCGGCCATTGGTCACTGTACTTGTAAGGGAGGGTCATTTACAGGAGTACTGGGGGTCCCTGATCTGAGTCTGTGTCGGAGATGGGAGCCCAGGAATGGCCCCGAGTCATACAAAGATTCTATTATCAAAGACTGTGTAGCTGACTGGTTCTCTTTTTTAACCACAGATTGACTAGTGACGATGAGTATGGCCAATGCCCTGACTACATTCACCGAGAAGGTCACACTGCTGGGTGCCTCCTGCAGGCAGTGGAAGATGAAATTCTGCATTTTTACATCTTTAATGGAACACACCTTCTTCTCTCCAGGGCTCAATGGACTAGCACTTACCGTAAGTACCAAGAAGAGAACTCATTGCTCATTTGACTTTGTGGCCAAGAGCCCCATTCCTACCTCAGCACGGAACAGTTTGGCCTTTTAGAAAGATCCATCTCGGTGCACTCACTGGGCAAGGGGTCCATCTTCACTGAGCAGGTGGGCAGATGGTCCTGGGAAAGCTGTGATTTGAAAGAACAACCACAGATGTGGCATGGACCTCTTCCTTCCAATAGAGGGAGAGAAGCGCCTTTTTACCTCTGATGCCACCCTTTTTGGGTTTTCTTAGGTATTTTGAGGGTTAGCTGATAAACTTGGCTTAGGAAACACTGCACCCACCAAGTGAAACCCTCTCTCCAGAAGATGTATTCTTGGTTGTAGATTTCTGTAAGTTAGCGGTCCTTCTTTTTTTTTTTGAAGAATGACATGTGACAGGTCTATCCCAAAATTTGATGAACACTACGGATCCCCGTCTCATAAAATCCTGTGTAGACATTGTAGGAGATTCCCAGGGCTGCCAGAAACTAGGTGGCTTAGAATAAACATTTATTGTCTCGTACTTATGGAAGCCAGAAGTCCACAATCAGGGTGTGAGCAGTGCTGGATCCTTTTGGAGGTTCTGATGGGGAATTTGTTTCATGCCTCTTTCCTACCTTGGGGAGATGCTGGTAATCCTTGGTGTCCCTGGGCACGTGGCCATGTCCCTTGTGTCTCTGCCTCCATCTCCTCTGTGGCTGTGATTCTACTCTTCTTATAAGGACTCCTGTCATATTCACTCAGGTCCACCCTACTCCAGTAAATCTCATCTTATCTTAAATAATTACATCTGTAATGATCCTATTTCCAAATGCAACCCAAATTCTGGGGTCCTGAGAGTGAGGACTTCAACTTTCTACCTTTTCGGTGGGGAACGCAATTCATAACAGATACACAGGGATTTTTCACACAATTTCAAGGAGTTCCTTCCATGGCACATGTACTAGTTCTTGGAACTCTGGTTAAAACCTCTGCCATACAAGTAGTAAGGATGAATACACCCCAGAGTTCACTGGGTACTTGGGATGTTTATCTTTGTAAAAGGGGCCATCATTGGGCTGTTTCTTCTTCTAGTGAAACCCAGCTCCCCAAAAGATCTGGCCTTCCGGTGGCACCAGGAAGCAGTCACGGTGACGTGTCCTGATCTTCTCTACAAAGATCTCCTATATGAAATGCAGTTCAAAAGCATCTTTGACACCGAGTGGCAGGTGAGTGGGGTGGTGTCTTCTCAAGGCAGGTGTGATCATCCCCAAGGTGCTAACTGTGGGGAGACAGACAGACAGACAGAGAGACAGGATTGAGGTTTAAGGACCTGCTCCTACTCTGGGAAACGTCCCCCTGTCCTCTGAAGAGTTTCAACTGATTGGACGAGGCTCACCCACGTTAGGGAGCAGCTCAGCGTTAGCTGATTCGATGTGCTAATCATGACTGAAAAATACCTTCTCAGTGACATCTAGACTGGCATTGGGCTGAGCAGATGGACACCAGGCCTGGCCAAGTGGACACATACAAAATTCACCATCATCACATCCTCCCACTGGGCGATCACACCCCATACCGTCCCCCATTCTTTGTACACCTTTGAAACACATGGGGGCACTTTCTGGTTCTGAGGATGTGAGTACAACTTATGGGATAAATTTAAATTCCATGAGCTCCCTGGGCTCACCATTGTCTTCCCATAACTAAGGGGCTACCATGCAAATGAGACATGAAGGTCCTTTCAAGAGTAGTACTGAGGGCCAATGGGAAGATGTATAGGGCATGGGAGCAATCACCTGGCATCACCTAGGGTTAGGTATATAAGGTGGCACCCACTCCTGGACATGCCCCAGGGAAGTCACGGTCCACTTGGAGGCGCTGTCCTAAAGATTAAGGGTCAAGCCCTACGAGACTTGTAGGGGAAGTGTGCATGGGGGCCCCTGAAAACACAATAGCCCATCTCCCCCTCCAGAGATCTGTTTGCAAGCAATTCCTTTTCTCCTTTCTCTCTCCTGGCTGCCTTCCCAGTGGGATAAAATCACCGTTCAGCAAATGAATGCAAATTAGAGCAACAGGCAGACCCTGTAGTTTGCCAACATAGCATGCCTGTAATAAACCATAACAGTGTTCAGTGGTGTTGCACATCACACCCTTGAAGGGCTTATCAAAGGTCCTGGTTCTGACCTATCGATTCACTTTTTGGACATGGGCGCTAAGGAAATCATACCATATGTGAATGAGGCTTTACACACAAGACATCTATTGAAACATCATCTAAGATAAATTCAGTGCCCTGGGGACCAGCGATATGCTGCTTAATGGGGGAAAAGTCAAAGAAATTATGGTTTTTTGATTTTCATTATGGTTCTATAAAACATATTAGAGCCATCAGAGGGTGTTTTAAAGAATGTTTCGTGTTACCCACTAAGACAATGCATTATAGCAGTGCTTCTGGCAGAAAAGAAATAATGCCAGTCTGTTTGTGGTTATAGCTCGGAGCTAGAGGAGAAAAGCTTTGGAATTTCCTCTTTTGCCTTTACGTGTGTGTGTGTGTGTTTTCCATAGTTTCCAATGTAAATACGTGACAATTTCTTACTGATAAAAAAAAGTGATGGCATTGTTTGAAGGTAGAACTTGCCCCAAAGTCATTCTTGAGAAGCATTTGCAGTAGTATTTGTTATAAATCACTCCTCTATTCCTGGAGGGCAGCGTGGGGGGAGCTGGCACTGCCCTGTGTTTGGAGGGTAGAGATCTGGGCAGAGAGCAGAGCAGAAGTGACCTCCCGACGGTGGGAATCTGTGTGAGTCCTTGGTATGGAGGCACAGCGTGGGGTCCGTGACGGATCCTCGCGTTGGTCTTTTTCTCCAGTCCGCAGAGGAGAATACCTGCAATGTTACCATTCAGGGACTGGATGCTGAGAAGTGTTATTTGTTCCGGGCCAGAGTGAAAACCGAGGAGCCCAGCTATGGCCCGGACACCTACCCAAGCGACTGGTCGGTGGTGGTACGCTGGCAGAGGGGCGAGCTGAGAGGTAAGGCTTGCTGCATAGCGGCACCGCACAGCCAGCGGGCAGCAGCACCCGCTCCTTCAGGGAAGGGTGCATGGGGGCCCCTGGAAACACAGTGGCCCATCTCCCTCTCCAGAGATCAGTTTGCAAGCAATTCCCTTTCTCGTTTTTCTCTCTCCTGGCAGCCTTCCCCATGGGGCTCATTTTCATTTTTATTTCTGTTGGCACAGCAACAATAATTATGAATGTTGTTACATGTACGACATACAGATGATAGAAAGATGGAGAGGTGTGTGTGGATGGATGATAGTTAGATATCAATGATTAGATAGATGATAGATCATTAAATAAATGATTATACACATAGATGATTAGATAGACATGATTACATGGATGATAGACGATTAGATAGACGGATGGTCCTTTATTAGGTAGATGATTAGATGATAGACAGATGATTAGATAGATTATAAGACAGATGAGTAGGTAGATGATTAGATAGATGGATAATTATGTAGATGATTCGACAGATGGATAATTAGATGGATAGATAATAGTCCAAGCAAGCCCTGATGCCCTGAAATGCCTTCAGTGCAGGGGGCCGAGGGTAGAGTGCTGCGTCTTCACTGCCTCCTGTGGGACTGTCTCCCCACAGCTGCCATCTGTATCTCCAGGGTATTTCCCCCTGAAATCAAGATTTGCCAGCACTGACGTCTATCAAGGAAGAAAAGCGGGTGTTGGAGCATGATCTAGTATCACGGTGAAATCTTACAGCACGCATTCTGTTTGACTTTAGATTCGTGCATGGAGGAAAAGCATTTCCCAAAATTTATTTTGATTTCTAGCATGGTTGCCATCCTGACACTGTCTCTTCTCCTACTGTCCTTATGGAAAATCTACAGGTAAGGGTCACCCCCTTGGTCTTATCATACACACAGGTTGAGGGTTTTTGTACCAATAGCTCCATGAAGGGGGACACAATGAGAATTAGCTGAGCATATCCCCACTGCACACTTGGCCAACGGGACCTTACAAGAAAGTTGAGAGGAGCATAATGCCAAGGATCCAGGGACTTCTGGAGATTTCTCTGAGCAATATTCTTGTGCAGATTGTACATCACGTGAGTGTTACCTACGAGAGCCTTACCCCATTGAGCTGTGTCTGCCTATCATGTTGGAGTGACAGGAGCTTGAAACACCTTTAATTTTTATTGAGTCTTACCAAATAAGGCAATCTGATGGACGAAGTGGGAACAATTACACAAGAAAACCTCTTCTGGTTTTTAAATCATTATTCATAAAGCAGAACTATAGTTTTCAAAAGCATTATATTAGTTTTCTTCATTGACCTTCCGTACAACAATCTGACCACCACTGTACCCCATCTTTACTAAACTTACTATGCCCGGGCATCTGGCTGTTAATGACACTGGGAGGACCTCAAGCCCAGGGTTGTGGCCACCGTCTTGGTTTCTTAGGATGGGATTTGCACAGCAATGACTGGAGGGATGTGTGGGGAAAGATGGACCACCACCCAGGACCGTTCAGGCTGGGTCTGATAGAGGCGGAGTCACAATTTCAGAGAAGTCACATCATAGTGTCATACAGCATAAGGATGCTGCATTTAACTCGTGCAAATCGTCCATTCCACGTGGTCGTATTTCTTTTGCCAGCTCAGACAGCTGTCACCAGTGTGGTTCTCTGCTAGGGAGGAAATGAAGCAATCAGACAAGGGTGTCGGCTGGTGTTCTGAATACAGTTTTGCAAGGCTGCCATAACATAGGACCAAAGAATGGGGCGCTCAAGCCACAGGCAGTTATTATCTCCCAGTCGTGGAGGCTGGAAGTTCAAGATCAAAGTGTGGGCAGGTCTCCCTCCTGGGCATGTAGATGCCATCTTCTCCCTGTGTCGGGATGTGGACTTTCCTCTCCGTACACATGCATTCCAGGTCCTGGTCCTTCTCTCTTCTTATAAAGTCAGAGTCATATTGGGTTAGGATTATATGAGATTAGAACCTCTTCAATTCAGTACCTGAGACCTATGAATTAAAGTGACCAAAGATGAACAGAAAAACCATACTTTTCTTTATGGATGTAATATGCTACGTGCACAAAACAATCACAGAGAGGAAGTGATGACCCAGAGATGCTGTTAGTCTGGGGGGCTTAGATACTATTTTAATAATAGTCAATAAATTGTGAACTGATTAGATAAAGGAAATAACGTGGTGCTGTCTTGGTGATAAGATTCGTTCTCTTCCTAGTAAAGGAGGAAGGGCAGATTTACAAATAGAAATTTTGTTGGCAAAAAGCAGAATTGATGCCCTGATTTTGGGCAAATGGGATGGGTCGCAGAGAGCTCTTCCAATTCTTGACCAAGTTCTGAGTCTCTGCAGATGTGAGTTGCGGCCATCCTTGGCTTGGAAGGAAGGCCCCGTAGGAAGCCCCCAGTCCTGCCGAGGGCGCTATTCCATCTGACCAGACTGGATGTCTTTGCAGGGTTAAGAAGCTCCTCATGCCAAGTGTGCCAGATCCCAAATTCACCTTCCCTGGGCTCTTTGAGTGCCACCAAGGAAACTTCCAGGTAAATCATCTCCCCGTGTGGCTTTGCTGTGTCACACTTGGATACCTGCTCATGCACCCTTTGTAAAACCGAGGTTTGTTCCAGTCACCCTCTTTAAATGCCCGTGAGCTTTTCCGGGTCTGAAAGCATCAGCTTCATCGTTTTCTCTTTTGTTCAGAGAGACAAGATCTGAGGGTCTCCGAGGGCTGCGTGTTTTAAATCAGCCCCAGAGATCAGAGCCCTCACGGGATTTCCCAGCTAATCACTCCCCCATCTCAGCAGGAAGTGGTGTTCTCAGCGTGTTCCCTCGGCACAGCTCAACACCAGCCATGAACTTCCGCGTTCAAGCATTTGTAGCTGTTATTTCATTTCATTCATTTCATAAATGCTTATAGAGGGCTGAGTAGGAGCTGGTGGGGAGTTAGGGACGAGGGGACCAGCCCCACTGCTGATGTTGGGCACCCAGGCATGGATTTTATAGCACAATGTGGTCAGGATGATGTGAGCTTCCTGCCCCTGCCACCAGCTGAGGGGTGGGGGGGCGCAAACCACCACAAACTTAATTTCTGTCAGTTCTGGAGACCAGACGTCTGACATCCAGGCAGGAACTCTGGGATCCAGGCGGGGCAGGGCTGAGTTCCCTCCCCAGGCTCCAGGGGAGGCTCCTTCCTACCTGTCCCAGCTTCTGGGGGCTCCAGGCGGCCCTGGGCTGTGGCCGCATCCCTCCTGTCTCTGCCTCCATCTCTACGTGGCTTCTCCTCTGTGCCTGCGTCTCTCTTCTCCTGTCTCTTACGAGGACCCCTGTCATGGCTTTCAGGGCCACTCTCATGCAGAAGGACCTCATCTTAATTCTTACATTAATTACCTCTGCAAAGGCCCTATTTCCAAATAATTTCCCATTTGCAGATTTTGGAGGTTATGGGTATTCATTTATTCTGGGTGGTGGGGAGGTTCCCCATGCAACCTACTACAGGATACAGGGTGGATTTCAAAACTGCTTCTGTGTAGGAGAAGAAAACAGCACACGGGGGGAAAAGTTTCCCTCCACCCTCTTAGTTTTAGTGGTTAGGCCTGCAAATGAAACCGACAAAAGACAGAGGAACAAAATTAGCAGGATAAAAAGGTTATTTCATATGCACATGAAGTCGGGGGTGGGGGAGTGGAGGGGCTGTTCCTAATCAGAAGTGAAAATCCCAAAGGGGTGCTTAGACCCAAGGAATCATAGGGGGAAAATCTCAAAGGGTGGAGAAGAGACGAGGCCAGAATTTCTGAGTGGGTGTGGGAGGGTGACCAGGACATACGTGGCTAACCACGGGGGCTTCGTGAGGGCTGCTACGCAGAAGGAAGCCTCTGGGACAGTGAGGGTTCTCTCTGCAGCTGTAATATCGTGGACCGCTTTGCAAATGGAAACCTTCATCAAAGGGAGATGCATGCCCCACCTGTGGGCAGCAAGGGCAGGCAGAGAGGTCCCCCCAATCTTGCTATTTCTTGATTGCCTAAAGCCCCAAATCATCCTCTCGCCAAAGAGGTTTGTCTGGGTTTGGGGCTGGTTTGTCTGAACCCTACTCAAGGGAGAGGGGAGGGACGTATAGTAGCTTTTTCAGGAAAAGCTGAAACTTTTCAATACTCCGGGACCAGAAAGAGAGGCGTCAGGGTGGGGGGTGGGCTGTGTGGGTGACGCCCGGTGCCCAGGAGAAGCAGGAATGCTCCCCAACCCCACTGACATACCTTCCCGTTGAGACCCCTCCCCTAATGCAGGTGGGCCCCAGCCAACATGCCAGACATCACAGGCGCTTGTGAGGAATTCACCATCGCGGGTCTCCCTGGACCCCACTGGCTAATAACCCTAAAATGATTTGGGGTGGTTTCTTGGGTGTGGGGGGGGTGCCCCATTCAACCTTCTACGGGAGTAAGGCAGATGTCAAAACTACTTAAGTGTGAGAGAGGACAAAAAAACATAGGGGAAAACATTTTCCTCTGCCCTCTTAGTTTCAGTGATTAGGGCCTGCAGATTAAATAGGCAAAAGAGAGATTAACAGGACAAAACGTTTATTGCACGTGCACAGGAGGTGGGGGCTGCTCACACTGCTGCAGAAGTCACGTTCCTCTGCTGACGTGTTTAAGTAGCCACAGAGGTTTCTACCACACACGCTGGTGTGACAACCAACCAGGGTCTCAAACCATTATGGGCTTTGCTGCAAGGTCCTGTTGGGGGAGGGAGAAACCCCCTCTACCCCTCAAGGTTCTTCTAGCTGGTCTAAGAATTAAATTGGCAGGAGACAGATGAACAGGAGAGAAAAAAAACAAAGTTTAATGATATACGTGCAGGGAAGCCATAGACACGGGCTTCCAAAGACAGGGAGAATGACATCTGTCTGTCATCCTGAACCCCGGGAGAAGGGGGAAGGGGTCTGAGACCCCAAGGAAGTGGGAAGCAAACCCCAGGAATATGAAAGAATATGTGTTTCATAGTCACATATTCGCAGGGCCACACAGTAACAATGAGGGGGCACAGAGAGGACCTTTAACAGACTTAGCCACAGCCCTCCCCGTCTACCACACAGCAGTTTGCATTATAATGCAGCTGTCCAAGGGGACCCCTGTGCTGGAGCATGACCTCTGTCTAAATTCTCTTCATGCATCTGGGGGGTAGGAGGTCAGTGTGTCTTTCTGAGGTCTTTGGCTCTTAATTGTTCTTAACTCTGAAATAATCTGCACGGCACCATGGCACATCTTGGGGCAGCCTGCCCTGGGTCCCCTACAATGCCAAACACGGGAGTTTTTCTATTCTCTGTTACTGCTAGAGGGAGGAAGGGCTCGTTCAGGGCTTCCTCAGGATTGAGTTGCGGCGTTCCATCTGTGCAGGAGTGGATCAAGGACACCCAGAACGTGGCCCACGTGGATAACAAGGAAGGTGTGGAGCAGGTGTATGTCTCGGAAGAGGCCCTGGTGGTCCAGCTGGCCAAGGCTGAGGCTGAGATGCCCACAATGACAGCCAGCCCGTTGTGCCCACGGACAGGGCAGGAAGAGGACTGTGGCGACCCCAGGCAGCACTCGTGTCAGCCCCCCCAAACTGGCAAGGTGGTCTCTCTCGGGGGCTTTACCTTTGTGACAAGTGACAACTCATATGTGATGTTATAAGGGGCTGCAAATTCAAAAGTCACGGTGTGGGTCTACGTCAATATTATAGGACCCAGACGGACATCTCGGGCACTCAGCACCGCCACAAAGGGCGTATCATTCCGGGGCCACTGAAAACCCCACGCACCCCACTGGTCGACTCCGTCTGTCAGCTTTGATCTCGTGGATACTTCAGGGCTGGAAGGCAGATGCATGGCAGGTGGGACCCAATTTGTTGAGCTGTTCCTGGTCTCTGCTCACATCTCCCTTAGCACATGTTTTCATGCATTATAAGGAACAATGGCTGGGGTGCTCTGACTCCATTTTCCTTCCTGTAAGGCCCCCAAATCCTGCCCTGACACCATTTATACTTGTGAGCTGTTTCTTGGCCCTTTGGTTACATGGCACATGATCCCAGCAAGCCAGGCATGCAGCTCCTGCGTGGAAAGGAGCCCCACTTTACAGATGTCATCAAGCCACCAGCAATTGCTCTGAAAGGCAAAAGACCCCCCCATTTCAGCAATTGGAGGATTTTCTGCAGGAGACTCGAGTTTCTTCCCGAGTCCAAAGTCCTGAGACATATTTGAATGTTAACACCCTCTGCACGGTCAACCGAAGCATCTTGCTTGTGGGTGCGTATCACTATTTTTAAAAAATTGAAATAAAGCCAGAGAAGAAAGAATTGCCTTCAGACAGATCCTGGGCCATAAATAGGTTGCTGATTTCACATAGACAGTGGAAACTATTAGCAGGTTTCTCTGCTGAGGCTTCCAGTGCGTATGTTTCTAGATGACTGAGATCTTGATGCTTCCAGAGATTACCTCCTCTCTCTCAGCAGGATGCACGAAAAAAGCTTGGGTTAGCCCCCCACCCCTGGATCCTGTGTGTGCGCTGCTGGGGAAATATAACTGAAACAAAAACAAACCGTTGCTGAAAGAATGTTGCTGTTGTTTTAGAGCTGAGCCATACGCCCCCATTCGTGTTTTCCAGATAAAATGGCTACTTTTCTCCTCGCTTTAGGATTTAGGTTTTGCCCTTTGGAGCCAGGTGGAATCAGGCCCTTCTCCCAGGGTGTGTGTGGTTCTGAACACGGCTTTTTTGCTGAAGCTTTGACCCCCTCGCTTACAGAGGTTCGGAGGCATCTGCTTTAAATAGCTATGATGTGCATCCGCCATACAAACAGCCCAGACCACGCTGCTTAAACCAGAGACATTATGTCCCCCATTCTGGAGGCTGGACTCTGAGGGCCCGGTGTGGGCAGGGCTGGGCCTCCTGGGCGTGTGAACGCCACCCTCTCCCTGTGTCCTCACGGGGTTGTCCTTCTGTGCGTGTCTGTGTCCTCATCTCCCCTTGTAAGGACACCAGTCCTATGACATCAGGGCCTGCCCTATGACCTCATTCACGTAATCCCCTCTTTAAAGACCCGTCTCCAAATACAGCCCTATTCTGAGGTCCTGGGAGGTGAGGGCTGCAACATAGGGATTTTTAGGGGGACCATGCACCCACATAGCTACCTTTTAATCAAAGGAAGAAACAGTCATGCAGGAGGGAGGTGAGACCCAGGTGGGGTCCCTGGAAGCCCATGGACAAGTATCTGTGTGAACCCTCTGCTCCTGTCCCTGCTTAGCATGACTCTGCTCTCCAGGGGTTCCCGGCAGAGCCAAGCCCACTGAAGCAGGAAGCCAGAGGGGTGCACTGCTTCCACCTCAGGACAGCATCAGGGTCACATCCTTGCGTCTTCCTGAAAAGCATCACCCTATTCTTCTTCAAAGGGACAGCTTCACATTTGGCACCTGCTTATATGGACCCCAACACGGGACAGGAGAGGGCTGGACATTTCTTATGAGCTCAGAAAGCAGGTCTTACGGCTGCCCCCGTATCCCCCGTGTTTAATGGGTTTGAGACAACTTACAGCCAGGAATTCGGGGTCTCAGCACCACCTGCCCTCAGCCGTACCTCTGAGCACGTTTTCGCCTTTACCCTGGAATGGTCATAGGGCGGGGCTGGGGCAACATGATGCTCTGGCCACAACCTTATTCTCTTAGGGAAACCGGCTTCAAGTCAGTGGTTACAAAACACTCCGTGCTGGGAAGGGGCTTCCACACTGCAGAATGAGCCGGCTCCGGGGTCAGGAGCAACCCCCGAAGGAGCTGAGGGCTGCAGACAGCCTGGGCTTGGAAACTGGGCATACGACTGACGGGTCTGCACACACTCATGCCCACCGGCCCTCTACATGCACCTGGCCTGGTAGGAGGATTCTGGCTGCAGGGACCAAGCAGGATACTGTTGAACCCGGGCAGGTGATCACACGTCACCTGGGGTGTAGTTCTGGGGCCCCTGCAGGTGCTGAGAGGGCCAGACATTGAGGGTCAGAGTTCTCATTAGCATGATAGGCAGGATTTCCGCTAAAATAGGGCAATGCAGACGGGAATTCGGAATTCCAGGAGTCAGGTACGATGCACAAGGAACTCAGGGACCTGATGGGGTCTGCTGGGGTAGACAGTCTCTTGAGTTCTGGCCCTGTCCTTGTCAATACCCCAGGGACACTGCAGGCCCACCTGTCCCAGGGGACCCCGTGTCCTGCCTTTTGCTGGGACCCAGTTTGGGGGGGAACATGAGGTCCTTCCTGGGAGGTGTCTTCATAAGCTACTGTGCCTGGCTTCATCCAGGGAATGGTACTTGCAGCACTGGGAGCCTTTGTGAAGGGGCACACCCACCCCACTCCCCAGGGCCGGCTCAGCAGCTGGGGGCCCCAGGGGAGGTGGCCTACAGCAGATGGCTCTCTGCCTTCCTGTCGGGCGCCCTGAGCCAGGCCAGAGCCCTGGTGGAACAGAGACGGGAGCAGGGTCCCCTCCACTCCAAGCCAACCTTTGCAGGCAAAACCAGCCGAAATCAGGGCAAGTGCTGTAGAGAGCGGTCGTAACTCACAGATGCTATGTCCCCGAGGTCTGGGTGGCTGCTCTGAACTCAAGGGACCCTGGCTGGCCCAGGCATGGTTGTCACCTCCACTGTGGTGCAGAAATGTTTCCAAGAGCCCAGCGATGCACCACCCAAAGCTCTAGCGGAGAACCTGTGTGGCCGGTGGCCGCAGGCCATTTGGCAAGGCCAACGATGGAATGTTCTTGTATTCAGCTCAGACATGGAAGGAGAGATGCTCTGCTCTCCAGAGCAGGTGGAAGGCAGCCTCCCTGAGAATGGCCCGAGTTTCACAGAAAGCTGCTCAGCTGCCTTGCTTTGTGGGCCATACCAAGCTGTGTGACATCAGACAAAGTCTGAGCCTCTCTGGGCTTCGCGTCTCTGGTACCTTCTGAAAATCTGCAGCCCCTCTCTGGTGTGGCTGTACGGATGAGGGTGCATGTCCCCACGCTGGGGTCTGGCATACGGGGTGAACGGAAGCATGGCTTTGCAAAGCCCTTTAAACTGTCTGGCGTTTGACCCCTGGGCAGCCTGATACAAGCCTTCTCCAATTCATATCCTCTTCTGTATCATTGCCTATGAATTTACAGGTGGAAATCTGTTTTCAGATGGACAGATTCAAGGTTCTGAAAGTAAGCATTTCTCTAAGTCCCCAAGGAGGCACTGGATTTCCTAATAAACCTGCTGGCCCGGGTTATCAAAAGCGTGTAACCAACACCCCATAGGGCACAATTCACCCCTTATTCTGACGGTGATACATTTGTGCATGACAGATGTTATGTACTCACGTTATTTGTGTTCCGTGTCCTCTGGCGTGTGTACACACGACAACATGGAAGCCTTTTGGGTGACTCAGGGTTAGTAGCCATTCAGGAATGCATGCAAAACTGACCCACATCATAGCTAATTTTGGCAAAATGTACTAGGAACAGAAACCTCCAGATCTTCTTCTTAAGTTTTGGATTATTAACATGGATCCTTTCAGCTGAACATGGTATTGCCAAGCCTCAAAAAATCCATGAAAATGAAGCGAAAGAGCTCCAAGCGTCCCGCGTCACCCAATTCATCTGGGGCTTTTATCTGTGTGTCCAGTCCTTCAACCTCCTTACACTCCCCCACTGACATTTCCTTTCCCCAGGCAGCATTCTGGAGTGAGGGATCCCCCCAACCTCTTCTCCTGTGCTGCTGGGTAAAGCAGGGGTCTCCCAACTGGGGAGGAAACGTTTGCAACCCGTCCCTCATGGGCGGCAGCCTGCATGGTCGGGATGTATGTGTCTCTCAGCTGGAAGGCCTCCGTCTGGCCTGGTGGGTTTGTGCCAGGCGGAGCGGCTAGAGGGCTCGAAGACTGTCTAATGACAGAGCTGCACCCACATCCAGCAGTGTGTTCCACTGGAGAGGTGACGTGCCTTTCTTAGAAGGCGCCTTTGTCTCGGGGTTGGAGAGAAGCCCTCACCCCCTTCCCCACCCACTGGGTGCCCCAAGGCCCCACATTTAGGGGCCCATGTGCTCATGTGGGAAATTAGGAGGCGTGACATGTCTGTGGGCCTCCTGAGCAATTTCACATGTGTTGATTCTCAAGAGTATAGGAGGACAGAGCACACCAGCTGTTAGTGCATTCATGAGCTTTCAAAAGAAAGTGGAAATATCTTCCAAGAAAAGGGGCCACTTCATGCACCTGAACTCAGCCCTGGGGAGGGTAAATCATAGAGCAGGTGCCTGCAGTCATGTCAACACCAGGTTTCTTCTTTAAAAAAAAAAATGACATGACGCTCACATAACAGAATTCAGCATATTAAAGTATATACATGAGCAGCATTTTGTACAGCCATGACATCATGCATCCACCTCCTCTATCTAATTCCAGAACATTCCCATCACACCAAGTGGAAACCCTGCCTCCATGAGCAGGCATTTCCCACCTCCACCAGCCCCTAGCAATGACCAACGTGCCTTCTGTCTCCATGGATTTCTCTGTTCCGGACGTTTACATGCAAGTCAAAACCCCAGGAGGACACCACTTCACACCCGTGAGGATGCCTATAATAATTTCAAAAAGACTGAAAGTAGGTGTTGGTGAGGATGCGGACATTGTGGAACCCTCGTGCATGGGAGGCATATGAGTGCAGCAACCACTGTGAAAAAACGGTCTGACGGTTCTCAAAAAGGTGAAATGCAGAGTCATCATATGACCCAGCAGTTCCACTCCTAAGAATATACCCAAGAAAAATGAAAAAGGTGTTTATGCAAAAGCTTGTATATCTGTGCTCACAGCAGCACTATTAAATACATGGCATTTAAGGAATACACTCAAGTCTGAAGCAGCTAATAACTGCATTTAGAACAAGGAACAATCGAACCTGTTTTGCATCATGGACTCCATGTGCATCGCAGTTGTAGAGGAGACAGAAATTCCTCCACCCTCTTATGTTCTCCCCCTGGGGGTGTACAAATTAAATGGACAAGCACCAGATTAACAGCAGTAGAAAAAGGCTTATTCCTACGCATATAAAAGTTGGCTCCTTACTTGGTCTAAGTTAGAGGATTATATACCTAATTTAGTAGGAGAAAGGGTGTCGGGGAGAAGAGGCTTTTATGCGAAGAACAAACAGGTTTCTTTAAGAAAGACCAATTGGTTTTCAGGACAATAAGGAGAAATGAAAACTGTTTTGCTATTGGCTTGTCTATAGAAATATGAGTGTTCTTTCCTTCTCTGTGGGCCCATAAACCTCCCGCAGCAGGGATTTGGGGTGGATGTTTCTTAAGCTCTCCTTCCTTCCAAAGTCAATCTACCCTGAAGTGTTTGGGCGTGTCTGATATTTTTGCGCACATAGATTTGTTCATTCAATTCATTTGATGAATTCAAAATGACATTCTTGGCAAGAACGCTGCAGGGGTGGTACGTTCCCCCTGGGTTGAGTGCTACACGCCAGTGTTCCCCGCTATCAAACTACTGTCCGCTTGGTCTTTAAT